ATGACTGCACAGGTGGTCCCATGTTTTGGTCGTGGTGGGTTGGTTGATATGACGTTGCCTTGGCTCGGGTTAAAGCCTAGCGCGCGAAGCGCGTGCGTGGTTCTATGTCGACTAATTCAGAGAGCGCGAGGCTAACTCAAGTAGTAAACGGATCTCGGTGCCTTCGAGGTTGCAGACCCAACATTATGCCGAAGAGCACATTTGCTTTTCTACACTGCGATATTGTCAAAGCACGGTTGGACACTGAAGGGGATGTGCTGTTATTGCGCGGGACTAGTGTTTGGATTATAGTTGGAAGAGGCATCATATATCCGTGCCCCAGAGATGGTTGACGCATGCTTCCGACGATGGCTGATCCAATGGTATGCTTACGAGCTCTGTAGCTGCTCCTTGGATCCCCAAATCAAGGCGAGCAACACATCGACTTGCATCAGACGAGCTCTTCGAGTATATCTCGGCCCGCGACGTTGCGGCTAAGCTGAGACTCGGCATGCAACTCCTGCAGACAGTGGCATCAGTCGCTCTGAAGCTCTGCCCGAACGGATGGTCAAATCTTGGGATCTCCCGATGCCCTCTGGAGGCCTTCAATGAACTCGTCGAAACCGCGCCGGCTAACTAGCCTGCCTCCAGCGTTACGCTGGCTTCTGTTGCTTGGTACTACGTGCTGGCGGTGATCCGTCCACGTTGATGTATCGGCTCGATCTGCTGTCGTGTATCTTCTTGAACGTCTGCCGAAGCGATGTGTGCGTGCATGCGTGAGCAAATGTGAGCATCTCATATATCATCTCAACAAATACCTACATGGGCCCACCCACCTCGATGACGTCGGGCCTCCTCTTTTGCCCCTTGCCCGGGGGCCTTCATGAGCTCGGAGAGGGTTTCAAGACGCCCCCCCCGAGGAGGGCCCAAGAGAGCCCCAGGACGCCCCCAAGGCAGCCACATGAAGAATATAGGAGGCTTCCAAGACGGCCGATCCCCAAGGTAGCCCAAGACTCGCAAGACAGCCCAAGCGGGCTCCAGGGAAACCCGAGAGGTCTCCAAGATCGCGGAAAGGAGCCCCAAGAGTACACCCAGTAAAGCTCACAACGGTTTTTTTTGGGGGGCTCTTTGACCTCAATGTGGCTGCCCTGACCTCTGCTCGTGGCCACCTTGCGCGCCTTCCCTCTGGGGGAGTCTTGGGGCTTCTGGGCCCGTCGGTGGGGCTCCCTAAGTGGCACGATCTGTATGGGAGGTGTGCCGAAGTACATAGGCGGGGTGGCGGGATGCGAACCTAACTTCTTGGGCGGTGCGTAGGTGGAATTCCCTACGGGGCGCGATTCTTGTCAGGGGGGCGAAGCTATGCGGAGCTTCCCGCTGGTGTCGTAAGTGCATTTTCCTGCGGGGCACGATCCGCGTGAGGATTGTGCCCCTATGCGAACCCTGTCCCTGGGGCCGTACGTGGAGCTCCCTGTGGGGCACGATTTTTTGTGAGGGGTGTGCCGAGACGAGCGGGGGGACGGAAAGTATACGAGCCCTGCCCGTGGGCCCGTAGGTGGAGCCCCCTGAGGGGCACGATCCGTGTGAAGGATATGCCGAAATTGGCGGAGGGACGTCATTGAGACATGTCTGCCCACGATAGCGCAGGTGCTCCTGTGTGGTGATCGTTCTGGGATAGTGTGCGGGTCCATCCGATGATTGATATGACGCTGGCTTTGCCTGGGCTGGGCATGATCCGTGTGAAGGATGTGCCGAATTACGCAGGATGTGATGTTGAGGTGTGTATGCTTATCATTGCGCAGGTGGTGCCATGTGGTGGTCGTGGTGGGATGGTTGATCTGACGTTGCCTTGGCTCGGGTTAAAGCCTAGCGCGCGAAGCGCGTGCGTGGTTCTATGTCGACTATTTCAGAGAGCGCGAGGTTAACTCAAGTAGTAAACGGATCTCGGTGCCTTCGAGGTTGCAGACCAACATTATGCCGAAGAACACATTTGCTTTTCTACATTGCGATATTGTCAAAGCACGGTTGGACACTGAAGGAGATGTGCTGTTATTGCGCGGAACTAGTGTTTGGATTATAGTTGGAAGAGGCATCAGATATCTGTGCCCCAGAGATGGTTGACGCATGCTTCCGACGATGGCTGATCCAATGGTATGCTTACGAGCTCTGTAGCTGCTCTGGATCCCCAAATCAAGGCGAGCAACACATCGACTTGCATCAGACGAGCTCTTCGAGTATATTTCGGCCCGCGACGTTGCGGCTAAGCTGAGACTCGGCATGCAACTCCTGCAGACAGTGGCATCAGTCGCTCTGAAGCTCTGCCCGAACGAATGGTCAAATCTTGGGATCTCCCGATGCCCTCTGGAGGCCTTCAATGAACTCGTCGAAACCGCGCCGGCTAACTAGCCTGCCTCCAGCGTTACGCTGGCTTCTGTTGCTTGGTACTACGTGCTGGCGGTGATCCGTCCACGTTGATGTATCGGCTCGATCTGCTGTCGTGTATCTTCTTGAACGTCTGCCGAAGCGATGTGTGCGTGCATGCGTGAGCAAATGTGAGCATCTCATATATCATCTCAACAAATACCTACATGGGCCCACCCACCTCGATGACGTCGGGCCTCCTCTTTTGCCCCTTGCCCGGGGGCCTTCATGAGCTCGGAGAGGGTTTCAAGACGCCCCCCCCGAGGAGGGCCCAAGAGAGCCCCAGGACGCCCCCAAGGCAGCCACATGAAGAATATAGGAGGCTTCCAAGACGGCCGATCCCCAAGGTAGCCCAAGACTCGCAAGACAGCCCAAGCGGGCTCCAGGGAAACCCGAGAGGTCTCCAAGATCGCGGAAAGGAGCCCCAAGAGTACACCCAGTAAAGCTCACAACGGTTTTTTTGGGGGGGCTCTTTGACCTCAATGTGGCTGCCCTGACCTCTGCTCGTGGCCACCTTGCGCGCCTTCCCTCTGGGGGAGTCTTGGGGCTTCTGGGCCCGTCGGTGGGGCTCCCTAAGTGGCACGATCTGTATGGGAGGTGTGCCGAAGTACATAGGCGGGGTGGCGGGATGCGAACCTAACTTCTTGGGCGGTGCGTAGGTGGAATTCCCTACGGGGCGCGATTCTTGTCAGGGGGGCGAAGCTATGCGGAGCTTCCCGCTGGTGTCGTAAGTGCATTTTCCTGCGGGGCACGATCCGCGTGAGGATTGTGCCCCTATGCGAACCCTGTCCCTGGGGCCGTACGTGGAGCTCCCTGTGGGGCACGATTTTTTGTGAGGGGTGTGCCGAGACGAGCGGGGGGACGGAAAGTATACGAGCCCTGCCCGTGGGCCCGTAGGTGGAGCCCCCTGAGGGGCACGATCCGTGTGAATGATATGCCGAAATTGGCGGAGGGACGTCATTGAGACATGTCTGCCTACGATAGCGCAGGTGCTCCTGTGTGGTGATCGTTCTGGGATAGTGTGCGGGTCCATCCGATGATTGATATGACGCTGGCTTTGCCTGGGCTGGGCATGATCCGTGTGAAGGATGTGCCGAAACAGGCAGGGTGCGATGTTGAGGTGTGTATGCTTATCATTGCGCAGGTGGTGCCATGTGGTGGTCGTGGTGGGATGGTTGATCTGACGTTGCCTTGGCTCGGGACAAAAGCTAAGCGCGCCAAGCGCGTGCGTGGGGTTCTAGTTCGCGTGTTACATAGAGCGCTCATAGAGAGTACTCATGAACGTGAAGCGTATCATTCACAGCATTTTAGCGGTCAGTAAAATGTGAGAGGACATGCGGGAGGCCATGAGGGAGACCAGTATACCAGATGGGAGGCCATGTACACTGTGGGAAACCATGTGGGACACCATGCGAGATACCACACGAGAAACCATGCCGCATGCTATGCGGGAGACTACGCGTCATATTTGCGCTGCTTCACTGGAGCCGTTTGTGGCCTCTGTCTGGCGTGCACTGCTGTCTCCACGACGTGGCCGTCTAAGCGTCGCCACGTGCGGGCGGTGGTTGCTAGTGCGACTGGGCTCGCAGCCTCGTCGCCCGCACATTGCGCATCTCATCAACCCGCCCCCGATCCAGGACATCGCGGCTACTTCTTTCTGCGTCCCTCGCTTCCTGCTCCCGCTCTCGTTGCCCAAGAGTTGGCTAAGTCCGCCTCCATCTTCAAAAGGGAGTTCAGCTTTGCCGCCGGCCTGCTACTCTTGGCCCCGTGCATATCGAGGCTCTCCTCCTTCTGGCCCTCTTCATCCTTGCTGCTGCTGCTGCTGCTGCCCTCCCATTGACAAAAGGTCGAAGCATCACAACAGTGCGTCTTCCCAGAAAGCTGCCGCAAGGTGTAGGGCGTCTGGGTTCCGCCGCCTCGTCCACCTGGTCCAGCCCCCCCCCCCCATCCCCTTTTCCTTCCTCCCCGTCTCTGCTCGTCCGTATCCCCGCTTGTCCACCACGCTCTTCTGAGGCGTCGCACTCTGGCCAGAAGGCAGGCAGGGAGGGTGGGCTCTTCCTCCAACTCTTGCTCGGGGGACGCCGACTGGTGCTCCTGTGCGCCGACCCTGGCCCGGGCAGGACGTGTTGCCGGGGGTGGTGCCGCCGGCGCCCTCCCCGAAACGTGGTCGGGTCGAACGACGGGGGGGGGATTGGGACAAGGGGGGTTGCGATCGCTGCTGCATGCAGCTGGTTCCGGCCTCACGGCCGGGCGCCTCCTCGACGCACGGGCCCCCCGCCGGCGACGGGAGGCGCGCATAACATGGGTTGCGTGAGCGACCCCGCTTTTCTCGTCCGACCCGACATAAGGGGGCCCTGCGCCGCCCGGTTCCCGTCCACCCCGGCCCTGCGGAGCCCATGCGCGCGGCCGTGGCGGCGGCCGCCGCGGCGCGGAGGGGCGCCGCTCCCGCCCGGTGCGCCGCAGGCGCCTCGAGTGGGCGGCAAGGGTTGGCAGCCGTGCGGTGTTGCTATCACTGTGGACAAGCCTTTAGGTGGGGATGGGTGCTGGGGCCCCGGTGGTGTCGCGTCGTCTGTCCCCGCCTGGAGGGTGTACGCGGCGGGCTGCAATAGGGGCGGGCAGCCCGTTGGAGAGGATCACATTGTACTTGAATTCAGGGGCGGCCTCCGTCCATGTATTCGCAAAGGCGCCCAGAGGATGTATGCAATGCGCCCCCCTGGGCGATCCGCAACTTTTGTTCCCCCCAGGTACGCTGGGACAGCGACCTTGTTCTGTGCCAGTCGGTATCGGGATGGTTTTGTGACGATGAGGCAGCATTTAACCGCTTCGCTCACTCCGCTGGCCCACATTGCACCATTGTTGCCGGTGTGCCCATGGCGGGCGAAAAGGAGGATAGGGGGCTTGAGAGGGCAGGGGGAGGAGGAGGAGGAGGAGGAGGAGGAGGAGGGGGAAGAAGAGGACGAGGAGGAGGACGAGGACCAGTGACGTTGGAATAATCCCTCCCTCCAAACTCCCTCTTCGTAGGCCCATACAAGGGTTCATTTCTACTGAGGGAACTGCCTTGTTAGAAGACAACCGTTAGAAAACCCTGAAGCATGCGGCTCATACCAAAACATTATTCTCGGGGCTCCAGCGCCACGGATCTACCTGACTGTTGCGCCGTGACTATTCTGAATCGTGCCAGAACGCCATCCATCGGACTTCAACACCGCCAATCAACGTAATTGTAACACCTTCATAATCCTGAATCGTGTCAAAAACTATTTCTGGTACGTTTACCTCAGGAATCCGTGAAGCTCTTGCAATTTTGACACAGGAATGTGCGCGGCGCTAAGGCGAGAGCCACATTTTGAAAAGGAACCGCCCTCAATCCGTGAAGTTCTTGCAATTTGTGAAACGAATGTGCGCGGCGCTAACGCGAGAGCCATATTTTGAAAATGACCCGCCCTCAATCCGTGAAGTTCTTGTTGTACATTTCGAATACGAATGTGCGCGGCGCTTACGCGAGAGTCACATGTTGAAAACGACGCGCCCCCCATCTGTGAAGCTGTTGCCAATTTTGAAGCATCAGGGTCATATGTGGTGAAGAAATCTCAGGCGAAACGCCTGCCACGCCCTTTCGACCGGACTCGGGGTGCGACAATAATAAGTTGTTTAGCAGGAGAAGAAATGGTGGAGGAGGAGAAGGAAAGGGAGGAGGAGGAGGAGGAGGAGGAGGAGGAGGAGGAAGAGGTGGAGGAGAATGAAGAGGAGGAAGTGGAAGAGGCGGAGGCGGAGGCGGAGGCAGAGGCGGAGGCGGAGGCGGAAGCGGCGGCGGGGGCGGAGGAGGAGGTGGAGGAGGAGGAGGACGAGGAGGAGGACGAGGAGGAGGAGAACGCGGAGGACGAGGAGGAGGACGAAGGAGGAGGAGGAGGAGGATCATCTTATTACCATTAACCGTAGTAGTTGTTACAGTAATAGTGCTATCAGTAATAATGCTAGTCATCATACGCAGTGGTCATAGTACTATCACTACTACTAAGAATACCAATCGCAGTACCGCTAATACCACTGCTAATACTGATACTAAGACTGAATGCTGTCTCAGTGCGGATAATAACCATACTAACCATATTAATGCGAAGCGTATCTCTAATATGTTGAAGGCTGAGAATCATGACCCCAACGCTGTTAATAACCATATGATGAATACTGATACTACAACTGAGTAAAACAACATAGTAATAAGGAAAAGGCGAACCATAATAGTAGCAATCGTACTCATACGAATAAGACAGTTACGACTAAGAAGATGATGATGAGGAGGAGGCCTCTCGACGGCTGCTTGGGACACTGTGGGGACCAAACTGGGTCGCGGACAAGACGCCTCTTTGAATGGCTTCTTGGGGTCTTTTGGAAGGCCTTTCGTGGGCTTCTTGGCGGCATTTTGGGGACCTTAGCTGGGTATTCGGCGTCAGCATCGGACGCAAATGCGGGACCATGTGAGCGAAATGACCGTGACCATAGTGAATGACAGGTGCTAAATGTTGGTGTGCTCTTGGCGAACGAGGAGGAGGAGGCGGAGGAGGAGAAGGAGGAAGAGGATGAGGAGGCCTCTCGACTGCTTCTTGGGGCACTGGGGACCAAACTGGGTTGCGGACAAGACGCCTCTTTGGATGGCTTCTTGGGGTCTCTTGGAAGGCCTCTCGTGAGCTTCTTGGCGGCATTTTTGGGACCTCCGCTGGGTATTCGGCGTCAGCGTCGGACGCAAATGCGGGACCATGTGAAATGGCAGGTGCTATTTGTTGGTGTTCTCGCGGGACCATCTTGAATGACAGATGCTATATCGCGGGACCATAGTGAATGACATACTATATGTAGGTGTGCTCCTGGCGAACGAGTGGAGGAGGAGGAGGAGGAGGAGGAGGAGGAGGAGGAGGAGGAGGAGGAGGAGAAGGATGAGGAGGAGGATGAGGAGGTCGTCCTGCTCTCCCACCTCCCTCGGCGCACCGAGTGGATCGTGGACAAGAGGCTTCTGTGGGAGGTGTCGTATTTCTCGCGGGAGGCCTGCTGGGAGTCTCCGGGAGGCATTTTTGCGGTCTCCTGCATGGGGCCTTTGGGGACGTTTCGGAGGCCCCCTGTGGCCTTTTGTGTCCCCTGGGGGCCTTTTGTGGCCTCGGGGCCTCGAAAACACTTATTGGAATTTTTTGGGAGCTATCAGAAGCGCCGTGGGGGCTTCTTGGAGGCATCCTGGGGGCATCTTGGGGGGCCTCTAGGGGTCTCTTGGGGGCCTCTTGGGGTTTCTGGGAGCCTCTTAGGGGCATCTGGGGGTAATCTCGGGGCCCCCTTGGGAGCTTCCTGGATCGGATTGGGAGGATCTTGGGTGCCTCTCGTGCCGTCTTGGACGGAACAGGCAAAGGTGCTAAACATGTACGTTTCTTTTGGAAAGGGCATCGGCCCAGGGTTTTTGTAGTGTGGTAAACCATGTGCCTGGCAACGCCGGCGAATATCTTTTGCTGCGATAAATGACGAGGTCGCGTAGGGCTGGTGAATTACACAGCTGAGGATGTCCCAAGCGAAACGCTGGTTTTTGAAATCTCGATCGATAACACATGGGAACGTACACATTTTCGTTTGTTGCGGATGCCTCGAGCGAAATGCTTGTTTTGCAGAATTTGTTGAGGAAGTCTCGAGCGAAACGCTCGTTTCGTGTAAAATATTGTTCCTTCTCTCCTGGGGACCAGAATTCAGAGGATCTCTCTTACGTGAAATGCTTGTTTTCATGTGCTCAGGTCTTCAGCATGTCTCGAGTCAGACGCTTGGTTTCATTCGTCCAGGTTGTCTAGCATGAGTATATGTTGTTTTGACGCGTCCAGGTCGCCTAGGCAGATGTCTAGCACGAGGATTTGTTGAGGACGTCTCATGTTTCCTTGCTCGTCCCCAGGCGTTTCCGCTGCCCGTTCCGTGGCGCGCCCTTGCAATGTCTCTTGGCATGATGTCCTTTGATCGCCCCATGGCACGCGCCTTGGCACGTCCCGTGGCAGGTTCCTGATACGTCCCCTTATACGTCCCCTGACACGCCCCCTGGCGCATCCCGTATTGCGCCCCTGGCACATCCTGTGGCGCGTCCGTGAGCCTGTGCCCAGTGTCGTCTCGTTTCTTGTCGCAGCTGAGTCGGATTTCGAGGTCGAGTTGTTTGAACGCCCTGCACGTTTCCACTTCAACTAGTTCTGGGGCGGCTACTATGAGCTGAGGCAGCTCGAACTTCAGATCCAGATTAGTTCGTTCAGGACTCGGATGCAAAGGTGGACTCGATCCGCAACGCTATAGAGCACAATCGCGGCATGCAGATCGCAATTCAGCACGGTGCAGCACAGCACAGCTCTTGGCACGGTAAATCAAGATCGATACACTCAGCGTTGCAATTGCCCGTCGCCCAGTCAGGTGTCTCGAAAACGTTGCCATGCCTCATATTTCCACATTCCTTCCTGGGCTTTTTGGTCGATCATGTTCCGTAGGAATTGGTGCAGTTTTGCTTGTGGAGGCCCTGTTGAGGGGCCTCTGAAGGCCCTCTTGGGCTTGTCTGGGACCATCGTGAGGCAATCTTGAGGCGTCTTGGGATTATGTCTGGGCCATCGTGAGGCCTGCCACCTATTGGTGCGGACTCACGGGCCCTCTTGGAGCTCCCTTGGGGCCTCTTGGGGTGCTCCTGGAGCGATCTTGGGGGAGCCGACAATCGCCCCTGGGAGTTCGGGCATCCTTGAGCGGACCTTGCCGGGACGCTGCGGGGACCTTGCCAGGAGTCGGCCGGGGTCTTCTTCGTCGGGGGACCCCCAGGAGCCGCCCCGCGGGCGCGAATTGCAAGATTCCCCAATCAGAGCCTGCCTCTATAGGGTCCTGGTGGATTCACATGGCGAGGTGAGGTGCGCCGCCGATTTCGGTGGCCGGCCCGGGTGCCCGGGTGCCCGGGTGCCCAGGGGTGCCCGGGTGCCCGGGGGCCCAGGGGGGCCCGGGGGTGCCCGGGGGTGCCCGGGGGTGCCCGGGGGTGCCCGGGGGTGCCCGGGAGTGCCCCGGGGTGCCCGGGGGTGCCCGGGGGTGCCCGGGGGTGCCCGGGGGTGCCCGGGGGTGCCCGGGGGTGCCCAGGGGTGCCCAGTGGTGCCCGGGTGCCCCGGTGTCCGGGTGCTCATCGGCCTGTAGCCATATAGACCTATAGCCCTATAGCCCTATAGCCCTAAAGTCCTATAGCCCTGTAGCCCCATAGCCCCATAGCCCCATAGCCCTATAGCCCCATAGCCCCATAGCCCCATAGCCCTATAGCCCTATAGCCCCATAGCCCTTTAGCCCCATAGTCCTTTAGCCCTATAGCCCTGTAGCCCCATAGCCCCATAGCACTATAGCCTGATGGTTCTACAGCCCTATAGTCCTTCAGCCCTATAGCCCTATAGCGCTGCAGCCCTATTGCCCTATGGCCCTATGTCCTATAGCCCTATAGCCACATATTCTTATAGCCATATAGCCCTATAGTCACATAGCCCAACCGCTCAATAGCCCTTTAGCCCTATACCCCTGTATCTCCACATGCCTATAGCCCTATAGCCCTGTAGCCCTATAGTCCTATAGACCTATAGCCCTATAGCCCTATAGCCCTGTAGCCCCATAGAAAGAGCTGCAGGAGATTTTAGCACGTCTCTGGCCCGTCGAGCCTGTGACTTCGTGCACTCCTCCTCCATATTCTTAGTCGTACGTGCCCTACATGTATCCTGATGTTTTTTTTGGGGGGGGCTTTCCTTCAGATGCCGCGCAGCAGGGTGGTTATTGCTTTGTGCTGGAACGT